GTGTGTGTGTGTGTGTGTGTGTGTGTGTATGTATGTATGTATATATATGTGTATATATATACCTTGGCTATAGCGGGTATGCCTACGAATACTTCACAAGAACAACAGACACTTCACAACAGCCCGTGTTTAATTCCCTGCACCTCAGTCATTTGTATGGCCCTATAATGGGACACAATTTGAGTTCCATTCGTATGTGAAAAGGGACGCACTATCAGCGTATACTCTGCACACAATTACAAACAAAGATATAACCAGACGCACATTCTCGAGAAATGAACGATACCTCGAGGGCTGCGATTGTTGCATGTTCCAAGTCAATGAACTCGGCCAGCAACGGCTTAGAGCACATCACATGTAAAATAGCAACTGAAGCCCTGGGTGAAATGGATCATTTCATTGGCGTATATAACTACAGAACAACACGTGTGCATGTAAAAGTCAAACCATGCGTATACCATCTGGAACCAGCTATGGGTAAACTAGATCAGTTCATTGGCGTAAAAATACATTCGTGCACACAGACAGTTATTCACAGGTGTATCCCCTCGACCCATGCGATACCTTCTCAAGGGCTGTGAGCGATTGCTCGGCCAAGTCAATGTACTCAATCATCAACAGCTTGGAGCACAGCACAGGCACCACTTGATTGCGGATGACGACTGTCGTGGCTGAGGGCTTGGCTTCCAACAGATGCGTCAGCGTGCGTGTGGCAACCAACATCAGATCAGGATTGTACTCCGCACCCATCAGCGCTACAAGACTGACCACCATCGCATTGGTTGGGAAGCCTGATAGGCATGTATAGGTGGATAATAGAGGTAAAAAGAGAGTGAATGCATCCACTAGTATATATTTAGACAATAACATTAAAAAACGTATGTTTTTGTGAATGCTTGAACTATACATATATATTGTCAGTGGGATCGTCGATTGTACATATATAGATGAATACATATATGTACGATCGCTGAATGTACACAGCTGAAAGTACATGCGCGGCAAAAACGTACATTGGCGTGCGTGTGTGTGTGTGGTATTGAGTGTGAAACATGAGTTGTACTCCTATTGTGAGCGTGTGTTAAAACCATACACACGAGTCCTCATCTCGGATAAGCTCAACTGTGAGCAATGGCACACAGATAGACAACACATATATACAGTAGCCTATCTTCGTAAATAAAGCAAGAGTACAACTCCAAATTGACTATTTTTGTTCTGTGCACACTCTTGCACTTGCCTTTCAATATGTATATATTGTATAACAGTAATTTGTTTCGATGGTTTAGACTTTTCACAGAATCGATCACGGTCAGATCTGCACCGCTAGTGAGTGCAGATATTGCAATCATTTATACGAATGCTACCAGGACATTAAAAACTTTTACATGAGAATTTTCCATCCGCAAGTAGTCAGTATAAGAGGTCACACACTTGCACATATATTTGGGATGTGTGACCGTATAATTACCTCCGTGTTTCAGTGAGAGCATGAAATCTGGTACAATTTGAGTACTTAAGGAACCAAGAAAGCATACGTGCAACTTGCGCAAGATAAGTACAAGCACGGTGGCGCTCATCCGCAGAATACATACCCGTCAATGTCTCTTCCGTCGCTACACTCAGCTGTTCGCACAACTGCGATACCGCCACAATCTGGCCTGCGTCATCGCCCCAGTCATTCATGGCTTCCACAATGTGCCTATACGGACCCCCTATGCTGTCTCTATTGCCGCTTACAGTATAGGACCCCCCCAGACTATCCTTGCTGCTACTAGTAGGCCTGCTTGACTCCGATAGTCTACCACTACTCGACGATCTACTGGCATCTGGCGCTGCCGTACGTGTTGGTGTGGCGTCTGTTGATGGGGTGGGTTCAGAATTCGGCAACGAGTTTTCTGCTGACCTCTCTGGAGATACATTTGAAGTGCACGCGGTATTTGAAATATGGTTGGGATGACTCCTATGCGCGTGTGTGGGGATTACTGTGCCAAGAAAAAAGTACTTGTGATAGACATAAATTTCCACGTAAACTGGTCAACCCAACCATATTGATCGCAATTTGAGATAGCAGCCATGGGTAGAGAATTTGGAAGTGAAGTCAAAAAACTTACAAGTGTAGCAACCCATATGCATGCATGGATATAAGATGCAAATCTGTGAGTATGTATACATACAACCTGAGCCCAAGTGGTCACCAAGCAACATACCAGCATCAGGGGGTGCCGTATAGTCCTCATCTTTGCTAGAGGGAGCCTTCGCAGCAGCAGCGTCGTCCAGTGAAGCTTTCTTCCCATCAGCCTACGACAGTAAGACAATCCAGGTAAATCAGATCAACAAGAGCGACTGGCTAGTTGAGAAAAAAACTATATATTTATAGTGCTTCATAAGCTTTGAAACATGTTATTAAGTTGAAACTGTAATTCCATAAATTGTTGCAAATCCGAACGTTGGGAACTGTCAACAGCAACGCAGCTATACAGCATAAAAGCCTCATGAAGCTTCACTTACAATGTGCATCTATTTCTTTCTTTAGCTCCATACATTAATATATATATATATATATATATATATAATGTATGTGTGTGTGGTGTGTGTGTGTGTG